TTGGCAAGTTGTCTAGAATCTTGGCTACATTTTTCTTTTGAAAAATGGCTTCTGAGATCTTGGATTTCTCAGGAAGTACAGAAAATTCAGAGAGCGGTACCTGTGTTTAACGGGGTACTTTCCCTGTGACAAGTCCTTCCTTAGAAGAGTTCACGGAGGACACCAGGTGCTGTAGCAGCATGTCCTCTGGGCCTCTGCACCCAGGAGAAAAGGGCACCCAGTGCCAGGCCTGCACGCTGCTGGTGGGGCAGTCAGCAGCAGCTGTAGCCTAGGCACCTGCCACCTAAGCCACAGGCCTCAGGACTAAGGAGTCCAAAAGCAAACACGAGAATAGAAGAGAAGGCAATGCTGTCTACCCTCTGTGGCCTACCCAGCACTTAGCAGGACTTCTTGAAGAAGCTCTGCATCACACTCTGGTCTTCCTGGGACCGGCAAAGGGAGCCAAGGCCTGTCGATGCTCTGAAATAGCCGTAAGAACACCTTCATCTCACAGTTCACACAGAGAGTATGAGGCAACGTTAAAGGGATACCAGGATCTGTATCTGGAGCAATCTGCTTGACGAACAAAAGCTCTTACAACATTTGCGGCAAAGCAAAGAATAATCAAGATAGTACATCTATATAAGATAAGAAAACAAAAAACATCAGTGATGAAAGTTCCCTTTTGGAAAGTAAGGAATGATGCGGTAATCTCCCAATTCAATGCCTTCCACCTAGGGGAGCCCTAAATGTAACTTTTGGTTTGACTAAGCAACAAATATTTAATCCCTTTTCAACAGCAGCTATCAACAGTTGTGTTTGGGGAAACGGCAAAGTACGATTTAGGAAGAAATAAACCTTAGTTCACTATGTATTCAGAAGAAGTCCTCAAACTGCTCTCTCGTGTTGGAGGTTGAGACCAAGCAGTTCACCTATAAACGTTACTTGTTTGGCAAAGAAAATCCAAGGACAGGAGAGTGGATATACACTCAGGGAAGAATTATTCTTTATTTTGGTAAAATTTGGAATGTATTGCAAGCCACTCCTGAACTGGTGATCCCTGGAATGCCGAGTGAGGTCTACAAGAGGTCGTGCGATGCCATGCCACTGCTTGGGGCAGGAGCTGTGGTCTGGACTCCCCCTGACCCTGCACCAGCCCCCCGCTAACCAGAGGGACTTCTCATCCAGCCTGGTAACACACAGGAGCAAAAGCAATTCCAATATTCTGGTGTGGCATTCCAGAACTAGAACCATTTTCAAAGCAAACAAAACTGTGAGTAGTTTTCCAGTTGAGAACAGGTAACGTCATTGTAAGTTATGCTTTGCCTTATAAAATCTATGAATGTAGAAGCAAGTACAAAGTTAGGCTGGACAATCCTGGAAAGTCTGTGTTTTTGTTTATGCTACTACCATAGATTATGGCCAATGTGGCAGAGGGTGCAAAGAAGCTTTTTAAAAAATGAAATGGTTATTTACTTTATATCTTTAGTGTCACAAAATAATATAAATCACAATGCACAGCTTCCCAGTAATTGCTAATAAATGCATACTAAATCCCTTAAACTATTTATAAAATATAAAGCATATTGTAACCAAAAACTTTTGCAGAAAATTCTAACCAGCCCTGGCCGGTTTGGCTCAGCGGTTAGAGCGTCCGCCTGCGGTCCGGAGAGACCCGGGTTCGGTTCCCGCTAAGGGCACGTACCTCAGTTGCAGTTTGTCCCCGGCCCTGGTTGGTCGTGCGGGTGGCAGCCACTCGATGTGTCCCTTTCACGTCGATGTTTCCCTCTCTTTCTCTCTTCCTCTCTCTCCCTCCCACTCTGTCTGTACAAAAAATGGAAAAATGTCCTCGGATGAGGATAAAAAAAAAAAAAAAAAAAAAAAGAAAATTCTAACCAAAACATAAAATATTATTATTAAGTAAGTATCATAAACACGAGAAAATAAAATTCAGATCTCTTAGTCTGGATTCAAAACCTTTCACAAACACATCCTATACCATCCTTTGGTTCTTCTTATCCAGTTCCCTAAAAGAATTCTGCTCAGGTAAACTGGCCAATGTATGCACTGCGTGCACATTCGTAACATGCCCGTCAGCCATGCCTCTTCCCCAGTGTGCCTCTCCCTCCGCTCTCCCCTAGCCTCTTCCTGAATTGTAAATTTCTGCCTAGCTCTGATTAAATTGTTCTGCACCCCTGGCAGCACATTACATTTATTCTCTTATGCAGACAATTTGACAGCTATTTTTGATTTGAATAATCATCAGAGGCAGAAGAGGAGACTTCCAGTTGTTGAAGCTTACAAATGATTTACCTATTTATAAAACAAGGAATTTTCTGACCCTCTGCTATGTATAAGACACATGCCAGGGACAATAAAAAACACCAAGATGAACTGACATAACATTTACTTTCAAGGAGCTCAGCTGAGTCTAGTCAGGAAATTAGATCAATACTAACACTGTCATAATTAATACAAGCTAGACCATTGTAAGTACTCCACTACAAGTTCTGTAAAGGAGGGTGGGATCACTTAGTCCTATGAGGGAGAGGGGAGAAGAACTCTAGGAGGAAGCTGCAGTTGGGTGGACAGGAAGGAAAGGACAGAATTCCTTAACACGTATTAACAACGTCAAGGGCAGAACTCAGGAAGTTAATGGATGAAGCAAGGGGAATGTGATGTGTTAGAACACAGAGGTAGTGAAAATGGAACAAATGTGAAAGTAATTTATATTATGACTTAAAGGGATTAAATATACTGAAGAATGTTTAATTCAGAGGTTAGCACACACTAATGTCATTTTTTTAGGAAGTGTGTTAGTTAAGTAACCAAGAGACATGAGATGATTTCACAGAATAATTATGATATTTGAGAAAAATTGTATTAACAATTTTTATGATGTCGATTTCTAACTGAATGGTATTCAACCCAGTTAAGGCTACTTAACTAGAACTGATACAAAGAGCTCAAATAACACACAGTTAAGTATTCTTCCATGTGTTACATGAATAAGGCATAAATTCCCCTTCACTCTGTGGGTCTACATGACTGTACAATAAATGACTTTCACATGAAAATCTAACTTCAAGGCAAGATCCTGAAGGATTCTCTGGAGCATCTGAGAAAGATAATTTTTTTTTTTGGGGGGGGGGGGATATAATCTAGGGAGACTATGATAAGGTATAAATTGGCAACATATATCTGTTGACACACACACATACACTCACATCAATCACATCACACAGGTGGTAACTCAGCCAGAATAAACCAGGTCATCATATTATCCACCAGTTGTAGTTTGGAAAAGTCACTGGCATTAACAAAAATTTCCTTCAACAGAATTGTCTCACAACTGCAACAAAACAAACATACTACCTATTTCAGAACTTCATTACATGAGATTTCTTAGGGAGTGGAAAAATAAAACCCTGATCCTTTTAAATCCAGACTTAGATATCCAGGCAGCCTCATCTGGTTCGGATGCCAGAGTCCCAGGCTCAGAAATCTGTACCCTCTTGAGAACAGAAGCAGGAAGATTATTTGTGGAAGGTCTCTCTTGTTGCCATCGAAAAAATAAGTGTGAAGATATCATTAGATAAGAAAGAGTTCATTTCAAAGAACCATCAAAGAAACAGAAATGCCTGATTTTAAAATGACCTGTATAGTTAGAAACTGCTAGATGGTAACAGAAGTAAAGGTACACAAAATTGCTTTATTTTACCTATAATTCATTTCTGTGCGTTAAATCTGTGTATAAGTCACACTGGACATGCCAACTCCTTGCTATTACCTATTGATCCTGCTATATGGAAATATCCTCAAGAGTAGATGATCAAGAATACTAAGAGAATGGAGGTTCTGGTTGAACACCCTAAAATAACTGTAGGAACAAATGCAGTGTTTTGTCAACAAAAGGTGACATTTAGCGGCTTACTATAAAAGCAGCACCTATAAGTCCTAAGGAACAAGACTGTGTGGTTAGTAGAAGTCCTGACGGATTCCCAGAATGGAAGAAAACAGTCTGTCAAGACATTTTTATAAATTCAAGCAGATGTCCCTTCCCTCGGGCTGAGGGGCTCCACACCGGTGTCACTCCCTGGGGTAACCACAGCCACTGCCTATGAGCTCCCCGAGGGCAACGACCGCACGCTCAAACCTGGAGCCACCTTCACGGTGCCAGTCTTGTTGGGAATCACGTGTCTACACCGTCTGGAGGGTAAGCCATGACAGCATTTGTTTTCACCTAAATACAAACCTGGTTTTCTATTTCTTTTTCTTTTCTTTTTTCTTTTTTTTTGTGGTACGTGCCCCTAGCGGGAACCGAACCCAGGACTCTCTGGTCCGCAGGCCGATGCTCAACCGCTGAGGCAAACTGGCTGGTTTTCTATTTCAACTAAGAGATAATGCTGGCTGTTGAAAACGTTTGCTTGTTTTCTAAAAAGCTGAAAATGTATATATTTTTCCGAATCCTGTGTCAAATGATTTTAGAAGCTCCCATGACTCTAACACAACTGCAGAGAAAACATGCTTGAAAGGTTATTGGAAGAGACAAATGGATCTCTCTTGAAATAAAATTAAGCCTGTGGTACCAATGAAAGGAAGTCACAAAATCCTAAACTAAATCAGACAGAACAGCTATTTTCATTCTTTTTCACAGAAGCACAATGAGTGGGAGGGTGGGGCAAGCCCACCACCTCGCCTCCGAATGCTCTCACTTTGGTAGAAGAGTCTTAATATTACAAACTGTCTTCTTAATGGAATGTATGCCCCTAAATTTTAAACCTCCATATGTTTTTTGTCAAACATCCAAATACGTCTTTCATTAATGTCGCCAAAAGCACAACTCTAATTTTTTATAGATGTGACTTTAAAGATTTAAGAAAACAAAACAAAACATTAAAACAACATACTGAACCATTAAAAGTCCCATTCAGGATGAGATGAAAAATACACATTTCAAAAACCACGAGGCATCCCCGATGTGGACGGGTGGCCAGTGGTTCCGGGGCAGCCTTGCCTACCTTATTGTGCTCGTACTTGTAGGGGATCTTGAGCGTGTCCATGGCTCTGATCATGGCCTGCATGGCCGTGAAGATGTTCTGATACACCAGCTTGGTGAAGCCCCTTTTGTCTTCATCGGAGTACCCCGACCCGTGGATGATTCTCATCTGCTTGATAAATGTGCTCTTGCCGCTCTCTCCAGTCCCTGAAAGATGGACAGACAACAGAAGCTCATCAGACCATGACACTTTCCCACAGTCTCCGAGACAACTAAACTAGAAATGGCAGCTTGTTCGAGACAGTCCCCAACAGGCTTCTCTGAGGAACATCCCAGGAGAGCAAAGCGGCATCACCAGAGGTGGGCACACCACCCATCATGAACACCTGGCATTTCAGAGGCAGGGGAGTTTTTTAAAAAATTGTCATCCCTTTGGAAACCACTCAGCATGCATTTTGACAGTGATTTATAACCATGTATCTTCTAAGAAATACAATGAAAACAGCATCTTTTGAACAGAATAAATACTCAATAAAGCTCTCTTCCCTGGGGAATATGTAAACCGCTTCCAGGAGGCTGGGTTGCTCAGCCAGGATTTGGGTCTGAAAATGACAACACTCTTACACAAATACTGGTCAGAGAGTGGTAAGAGAAAAAAATGTCTAAACGCTTCTAGACACTTTCTCTTATTTTAAAACAGAGTATACAGAGAACACAGTGTACAGATAAGAATGAAGATTTTTCTGGACAGCAACTGCATTGATTTCTGTGGCAATTGGCTGGCTGAGTATAATCTCAACCATGAATACTGGGGGAGGAAAGTGTCTAAAAAGTAGCATCTCTAATAGAAATAAAGCTATGAAATTGTTTCCCATTATCAATCAACAATTTATAAAAAGAAACCGTTACCTTTCCTTTCCAGAGCAATACAAAGTATGTAGGAAAAAATCTAGATTGTTTCTTTGTGTGTCATCCCTATCCTCTATCACAGAGACTTGCTCTGAGAGCCCAACTATGGACATAACCATTAAATCAGAATCTCTGCCAGTGTTTTTCCACAACTATAACAAGAAGAAATTCTAATGTGTGAGGTTACTGGTATGAGAAGAAAAGGAATGAGATCAGGCAACAGGAGAGCCTCTTTCTCCTGACTATCTAAGAAGCTTTGATATACTCATCCCCCCAAAATAAAACAATAAAAACGAGAAAGTAGGAGATGACATATAAACTACATTGGCTAGTGTTCCACTTCAGTCATGCAATGGTGGTCTACACTTAGCAACTCTTTGGACCTAGTCACTAAGCCCCTGAGCATCACATTAGACTCCCAAGATGTGGGATCAGTAAATGCATGGGAAGGAAATAAGAGTTAAGAAAAAGGAATCCAAAACTCAACTCCAAAGTAAGATCATTTCCCGTTGCCGCAGACACACCCAGAGTCCCTCTCTCCATTTCCTCATCTTGCTCAGTGCCCCAGAGGTTGACTGGCAAGAATTTCATAACATCTCCCTTGTCCTCAGTCTTCCACTGGGACTTAGTCAGTGGGAGACACCAGGAGGAGACCAGAGAGCAGGAGAATGAGGATGGGGCACCTACTCCCCCAGCTCCCTCCCTGCAAGAGCACCACAGATATGCTTTGTCTCCTCCCCAGCTGGGTGGCCCTCTTCAGGTTCCTGTAACTACACCCTCCCCTTGCCCAGCTGTGTGGGGCCCCGGCTTTGCACCCGCCTTCACTGGTTACCTATATCTGGCCCACACCAGCTGGAGCAGTCATAAGTTTTTTTCTGGAACCTGAGTACAATACCAAAAGGGAAGATGAAACCATTTAATAAGATGAAGGGGCAGTAAGACAAGAGAGTGGTGGGTACTTTCTTCTTCCTCTGCCCTTTCTCTATATAAATCTTATTTATGAAGCACTTGCTTCTAGTCACTAACTCACACTCTTAACACTCTTCTGAACGTCAATTACAATGAAGAAATAATAGAGCCCAAACCAGAATCCAGGCTCCTAACTCTCCCCAAAGTACCTGTCCCCCAGAACATGCATGTGCACCCCTCTTACTGCCCCCCAACCCCAAGTCTAAGTCCAATTTCCAATACAGAAAGGGGAACAGTGGTCCTCACCTCCTGGACATCCCCTCTCTTACAAAGGAAACTAGAAGAAATGTGTGTTCAAACCTTTATGCTTTGCCAACCCCTTTGAAATACACTATCCTCTCAACAATCTGTGAGGTAGATGTGTTTATCCTCATTCAGTGCAGAAGAAAAGGACTTGGAGACAGGAGGCATCGTAGCTGAGATGACATGACACAGTGAGGGCTCAAGCCCAGACTTCAGTTGCCCAGTTTGGGTTTGTCACTGCAGTTGACCCCTGAACAACATGGTTTGAACTGCACAGGTCCACTGATAATGGAGCAGTTCAAACCTCTGCTGTTCAAGGGGAGTCTGCTTATGCAGAGGGGAAGCTGTAGCTTTTCGTGGAAGGTCAGTGCCCCTAAACACCCAAGTTGTTAAAGGATCAACTGCCACAAACTCAGGATAATAGATTTCTACTACCCACTGTCAAAAATGCCTCAGCTTGACTTTGACCACACCCCGATTTTCTCCATTTAACCTAATTTTGAATTTCTGAATACTACTTTATTAACGGGGACCCATTTTGAGTTTCGATGCCATATTCCAATGGACTGGCCATCCCTCTCAGGTAAATTTCATTCACGAACTTAACGTTCACACTTCGATTTAATTATATGAATGCAGCAAATTCAAAGTGAAGCCAAAGCTGCACTTAGGAGAAAATCAGTGTGATGCAAATGTTGTAGGCAGAATGATAAAAGTAATCAACTAAAATAGTATTCAACTAATATTGGATTGAACCCAAAAGAAAGTATATAAACTAAAATATCAACCAAGCCAAAACCTCAGCTTCTTTGTTCTGCAAAGAGTTTTGTCATGGAAACAAATGACCTGTTCTTAACCAATGTATAATCCAAAGAGCATGTACTTCTCCTGTTTTTAAAGACTTACACAGTATTCTCAGGGGTTTGAAATGGACGTTTTAAAAATCTACTCAGGATTAGTATGAAAAAATATATCTGGCACAATCAAAAGCCCCAGCTATTCCCAAATTATATAAAATGATGTTATTTTCTAAGGCCACATGAAAGTCTAATGAGAGACTTCACAATTGCTTTAACTCTGAATGGAAGAAGGACTTTTCCACCGGCAGACTGCTCTCTGGATGTGGTGACGGCTAAGCTCTTTTCACAGCCCAGGGCACAAATAACTCCTGACCTATCTAAAGAAATAGACATCTGTTTCCAGAGCCACTTATAAAACAAAATCTAGCAAGGAGCCATGACATGAAATGTGTGTATGGGGATGGAGGGGGTCTCATTTTGCTAATTTCAATATATCTTCCACCACATTAATAACTTTAACAAGCCCATCAAGCCTGGCTGGTGCGGCTCAGTGGATTGAGCATCGACCCCTGCACCAAGGGGTCACCGGTTTGGTTCCCGGTCAGGGCACATGCCCAGGTTGTGGGCCACATCCCCAGTGGGGGGCATGCAGGAGACAGCCAATCTATGTTCTCTCTCATGGATGTTTGTATTTCTCTCTCCCTTCCTCTCTCTTTAAAAAATTAATGAAGAAAAACATGTTTTAAAAAAAACCCACAAACATTTCAACACAGACAAGGGTATGAGTCCCACAAAACTCCTGGTTTTCTCCTTCAGTGCTCACTATGTATTTGGCTGAAGATTTTCCCCAGAAAAGGCATTTGTAGCTTTGGGCAAGTACTCTGCCTTGCCTTATCCCAGTTCATACAAACACCCAGAAATGAGACTACTTAAGAATCATGCTATTTAAAAGGCCATGTCATCTAGTATGCATAATAGGCTTTGAGGGATACTTAATTTTTTTCCTCACTGTCCATTGGATCACGATGAAGCAGAGAGAACATTCCCCGGTTCACGTCACATGTCCTTCCATCAGAACCAACATCCAGTGTGAATTTAATATCCTACTGTTGCATGCATCTCTGTGTAAGCTGTTAGAACACAGCACACTAGTCATACACTCTCACACAACCTGATGCTTCCATTTTAGGCTCTGCCAAGATCTTTTCAACACAAGAGGATTTCCACATACAGCCTCAGCCACAAATCCACACTTACTCCATGTATCCTGCGCTTACTGAACATCTCTCAAGTTTACACGGACTATTCAGCCCATTTGCACAATGTAATCTATACATAATTCTGTCCGATTAATCTCTAAAGGTAGGACAGTTTTTCTTATTCCATACCCTATCTGAGTGACAGTTTTAGATTCAGCAATACATTAACTTCTTAATGACAATGAATTCTTGTTGTTGAAAGCTATCACGGACTCATTGCTTCCTTCTCTCCCACTAAGTTGGCTTCTTGGACCACACTGTTACCAAAAGAGCTATGAAACACAATCCATGTAGAATTGCTCAGTGCCCCAAACATGTCAGTTACTATTATCACTGCTCTAAAGAACACCGGTGTCCCCATTTTTCACACAGGGTCCTGGAAGACAATCACTGGGCACTGCACCGTCAGGACCTTCAAGGGTCCTTAGAGTCCATTCTCTATATCCTGAAAGAAAGTTAGAAAATGCACCCCAGAGAGACCCACTCCACTGCCACTTTTTTTTTTAGGCTCCCAAGAAAAAGAAGAAATGCCAAGATGAAGTTATAAAAACTGCAGCATTTAAAGTTGTACAATGACTATATCTGTTTCATCCTGCCAGTGTCTCTGACGACTGTATTTGGAGATTCTGTTAAACCATCAGAAGTCTACATCGTAAGCCTTTAGTGTGAAGGCTCAGGCCAAACGACCTGCCCTGCCCTCTGGACTGGCCAGCACCCAGGAAAAAAAACAGCGAATGACAAACCCAAGTGCCACAGAGCTCAATTATAATTCAAGTACTGCACTGTTCAGGTCCACTAGTTTAGGCCAAGAGTCTCAAATATGGAATCTCAGTGCCACCAACGCTGAACTTGGGCTACTTCCACATACACTTGGACACAGTTGAACCAGAATTTTCAACAAGAGCTTTCAACCCATAAGCACATCATCAACCCACACCTGCAAAAAATTAATAGCAGTGAGATAAAAATGATTGAATAACGCTGAACCAAAATACAATGCATGTGTTGTCCACGTTCCAGGCTACAT